TTGCCCGGGGAGTGTGGCAGCGACACCTGCTGGCCGGGCGTGGAGCGGCGCCCCGCGCCTGTGCGCAGGGGGGCGATTCGGCGGGAACCGCCGCCGGGCAGCGGCCGTTGGGGCTGAGGGGCGGAGGGGGGTGCCGGTGTTAAAAATACCTCCGCCTCCCACCCCGCTGTGGGGTGGGGGGGATGACGACGGGAGAAGCCCGGCGCTCTGGGGGAAGGCGGCTACGACAGCGATGATCCGCGGAGGGTGGGCTGCGCGCCGCTGTGAGGAAGGCGCTCTTGCTTCAAGCGGTGCTGGGGGAGGGTGGCAGGGAGGGCACGGGCCCGCTCCTCGGCTTCCCCCGGGACGCCTGGGGCCGGCCGGGCTGTGCCGGGAGGGAGAAGGGAGGCGTTTGGTGGAGGGCGTGATGTTTGGGTGGGAATGGGCAACTTTCTCTTCTGGGGCTTCCGGGCCCACGGCCAAGATAGCCCTGTGGCCCGCAAGTGCTGCTGCGTTCCCCGGGCGCCTCGCGTGGGCTGCCCCACGTGTCTCCCTCACCTCACCTCACGCCTGCCGCAGAACAGCCCAGACACGGAGTGCGTCCCGCGCTAATGGGAACCGAGCCACTTCCCTCTCCCTTCAGCTACAGTGGCTGGCTGGGCGTATTTCTGTAACCATAATCTTTCCTCCTTTTTTCCCTTGGCGTTTTAACTCCACGATGCTAATTCCTACTCCTCTCTTCAAAACTAAGCCCTTAATCCAGTGGCTTTCAACACTGACCTCCAGAGCACCTGCATGGGGCCACGGCACCGCTGGCTGATCACCTAGCTTTCCTCCTGCTCTGCTGAAACCACCTTTGGAACAACGCAAATGCGTTGAAGATGTAGTTAGGATTTTCCAGATAAGCCATCAGTTGTGGGGCCATCATGATCAGTAATACGGATCTAGTTTAGCAAAGCATTTAGACATACATTTAACTTTTTGTGCATTTTCTTTGGCAGAAGTATTCACCTGCTCAGTATCTTACTGTTGGATGAGGGGCTTGTGACAGGAGGCTGTTAGCAAAGGGTGAATTTTGGAGGAGGTAGTCCACAGCAAAATCTCATAATTACAATTACTTCCATTCTGGTTTAATATAAAACTCCATTTTGGAATTCAAAAGTGCAGATGAAAAGAGTAGTAAAAAGAGGATCCTTTTTTTTTTTCTTTCTCCCCCCCACACATGTGCATGCACATCCTATAAGGAGCAGATTTCAGTCATGCAGAATATATGATCTAATTTTAAACCACTGACAAGATATATCTGCTCCTTAAGGCATACTCTTATTTTAGAATTATTTGAAACGATACTTAAAGGAATAGTCATTCTAATATAGCTAAGTGTAAATTATGTTTGCAGTCCATATATCCTAGTGATGTAATGCACTATATCTTTGCCCATGGTCACCTTTAATAATTATAATATCATGTAGATAAGAGAGAAAGTTATAAATACTTTTTTTTTTCTCGCTGCATGCAGTTAAGGAGGATATTCACTGCTTAAGAATAATTTACTTGTACTGAACTTTCCCTCAAGTGAAGAGCCTGTGAGATTATTTAGAAACTGCATATACTGAGCAACTCAGAAGCTGGTATTTACGGTTTAGCACAGCACAGGGAGTCTGTGCTTCCAAGTCTGCACTGAACAAATACCTAAAGATGCATCGTTTGCTATGGATAAGTGGGAACCGGGGCTTTTGATAGGAGCAGCTGTCAGGACTGAGCTAGGCTAACATGGGATCAGTTACATGGGGAGATATCAGTGGCAACATAAATAAACAAGCTTTTTTTTTAACGGTGCGCCTGTGCTGGTTCTCTGTACTGACTGTCAAAGACTGCTCTAAAGGAAAGGTCAGTTCCCTGATGGGAATTCGCTTCCCCTACTGTAGCCTGACTACTAATACCTATCTAAATTGCACTAGGCCTGCTAAATGGCCATGTTCACACATTCTCAGGATGATCAAATATCCCTTTAATGTACTTGCATAGCAAGTTCCTTCTATGTCCTGATCTCCTCATGGTCCTTCCAAACACCCTTTTCTAGTAGCACCCACCACTCCCCCACCCCCTTGTCCCTCACTAACACCCCCAGAAGCTGTTGTTCTTAACCCGAAAGTTTGCCGTGAGCAAAGACCCAAGCGGGTTACAGCACAACTCCAGCTGCTGGAAGTGTCTCCCTTATCTCAGAGTCAGAAGGCTCTCTTTTTCCTGTCTCATCAGTTTGCTCTGTGTTTGTGCTCTCTGTGCTACCGAGTCAGAGGGAGAGGATGAGAGGTTAGCTGGAGGACTTTCTCATTAAGGGTGCCAGAGTCGTTGTTCGGTCATGTACAGCTGCATCGCAGAGGGTTCAAAGAGCCTTTATCCTCTAGGGCTTCCTCCTGCAGTCAGTTCAGACCTGCTCCCAAGCAGCTATTGTGTGCAGCCAGGTCCAAAATGAGGCACAAACAGATTTTAAAGCCATTGCAAATGCGCATCACCTTACAGCTTTGCAAAAACTGTGCTGCGGGACCCAAAGCCTACCATTCATTGCCCAGATCCAGGGCACTGGCAATATGGAAAGATAGTATCCTCTTAGATTAAAGAAATCCACCAAATATTTTATTTACATGACGTTACCAAGGATTGGAAGAGATGTAGGACTCTTTGATCATCGTATTTTTATTTTAATATTAAAATGCACTGATGATTCTGGCCTGTCATTTGTAATCAGTTGACTGTGTCAGAAATCTGTTCAGCTGTGACCAGTACAATGTGAAAATGGACTGGGAGTCCCTGAGACACAAGATTACTGTGACTGAATAATGTTTCCTCTGCTTCTGCCTCAGTTCTGCCAGAGGTGCTGCTTCAAGCCATCCAGCAGCGAGGAATCAAGAGGCATCTAACCACTGTCCTGCATATTTCTGAGTTGTTACAACTGTCACCATTGCTGCATGCCAAGTACCTGTACATGAAGGTCTTGATTGATTGTATTACCTATCAGGCTAGAAGTCTGCATTTAGATGTCACGTGAGCTCAACCTGACTCTAATTACAGTGTAGAAAAAATAGCAGTGCAAAATGTTAGCAGTTTTTAAAAGACTAGAGTAAGCGTAACCTACTTTCTCCAAGTATGACCTATACAAAACCATCTTGGTTTATCTGAACTATTTGAAATGCTAGAAGCATCAGAATTATTGCATTGTTTAAACCAAATGGAACAAAGGAAAAACTGTTGTAGCTGTGGAATGTATTGAAAAACTCAGCTACATATTAATTTTTATCTTAAGCTAATTAGGTGATATACAGAGTATACTCAGCAAGAGTAAGTGCTAAAACTTTGAGAATGATGTGTTGTATTTCTCTCACAAAACAGAAACAAAATGTTTATCAAAATCATTGCTTATGGTATTCAAAACCACAAGAAAAATAAAGTGGTTTTAAAATAAAAGTACTCTTACTTTTAGCTTGATTACCTAAAGAAATCATGTTCTTGCAGTCATATTTTTTGTCTGTCTGATAAGTCCTTTCTGTCTGCCAATAATTTCTGATCCCATTAGTTCATTTCAGCTAATTGTGGCAGCAGTGCGAAGATCTCAAAGTTTCTGCAGGCATCTACAAGTGTTGTGAAACTCACAGCTGGGTCAAAGAACGCAACCCATGTTCATTTTCGTGCTGGGGGGAAAGCTGCAGAGTGAGTTCAAGAGTTACATTGCCTCTGGTGTTTCATTTGGCCGCTCATGTTGGCCAGTAAGTGTAAATATACCCCAAAACAACTGGAGCATGTGCTGCTGCCTCCCTACCCAATAGACAGGGAACAGCAGAGGGGGCTAGTGGGGGAGAACTCAGAAAGTCAAGGGGAGCTGGTAGCACTGTTGGTGGTGGGCACAGTGCCACAAGGCTTTAAGGTGCGATGCAAAGAGTACACAGGGGCTAGGAGAGATGCTGGGTTTATTGCAGCGGAGGGTGAGAGATAGAGTGAACACAAATCCATTTGAAACTAGGCTTCCTTAGTTCTCTCATTTCCTCTCACAAATGAATTAAAACCATCACCTAAATATTTCAGAGAAATAAAAAAGAAATATGAAATAGCCAAAATGCAGAGTACAAAAGTTCTTACTTAGAAGCTGATGGAAGCAGCATCAAGAGCTTAACTGTCAATTAATGTTCACTTATAGTGAGAAGTTCAAACCCACTGGATATTTTCTTAGAAACATTGAGACAGAAGGAATCTCACAGAGGTTACCCAGTACAGCACTCCTGCATTGCGGCAGCATTATGTAGAGCACAACTGTCTCTGGCAGGAGTTTATCTACCTTTCTCTCAGAGAACTTCCAGTCAGGTAGACTCCACAGCCAACTACCTTGTTCCAGGTTTCATCACCTTAGCACCAAGAGTAGGGTGAGGGGGTTCCTTACTATATCAAAGTCTTTACTTTCTTTGGTTCTTTGCTTTCTTCTTCTCAGAGCGCAATCACCATAAGCTAGCATTTGTCTGCAAAAGACCACTTTGACTTACTCTTTTTCTTCCTTTCTCTGGGCTAAATTAATCAAATTTCTTAACAGACTATGCTTTCTAAAACTGTTGTTGGTCCTGCTGTTCTCTTCTTGACTG